CTCTGATACCACTTGTTGAGAAAAAATAGGGCGAAGAAAACAGCAATCGACACAAATCCAGAAGAACACAGAGATTTAACGAGGTTCGGCAAAGATGCCTACATCCTCGGGAGCAGAGCGGTGTATTTCTTTCAATATTCAGAAAAGGGTTTACAGAATTCAGGGATCCAACTCTCTCAAAGACCTAAGATTACAAACAAATCTATTTATAATCCTAGAGTAAGCCCTACAGTACAATATGTAATTCCCAAATTACCCATGTACCGTATAGCGGGGCGTTGACCCAACACCCCCAACCCACATAACGTAACTTCCCGATTTGAACAGATTCTTTCGCTTCGCTCCGCTCTGCTCCGCTTCGTTCCAGCGTCTGTCCCTATATGGTATATGAGCCATACCTAACATGAGCACAATTGAATGTTTTGGATCTTCAATTTAATGATCAAATGAATTCTAAAATTACCATATTTATAATAGAATCAAGCGTCACGATGAGGAAAAAATATTACATCAGTATTACGCACGTAGAAGTAACGTGCGTAGCCAATAAAATCATGCCACGACATCCCGCGCGACAGGGAAAAAAAAACGGCACAGTAACGCGGGGAATATTCCCACTTGTGTTATTCATGTGTTATTGTGTGTTATTCATGTGTTATTGTGTTACTGTGTTATTATAACACCAAGAATATTCTCATGACACAATAACACATGAATAACACGGGGAATATTCCCAACAGAGAAAAAAGCGGCGCAGTAACACGGAGGAATATTCTCCCCCGTGTTATTCCTGTGTTATTATGTATTATTTATGTGTTATTCATGTGTTATCTTGTTATTATAACACTAAAAATATTCTCGTGACACAATAACACATGAATAACACGAGTGGGGGGGAGATGTGTTATTCATGTGTTATCGTGTTATTATAACACTAAAAATATTCTCGTGACACACTAACACACGAATAACACGAGTGGGGGGAATATTCCTCGTGTTACTGTGCCGTTTTTTTCTCTCTGTCGCGCGGAGTGTCGTGGCGTGATTTCATTAGCTACACACGTTAGCCTACGTGCGTAGTACTGATGTAATATTTTTTCCTCGATGAGAGGAATCCAAAATTTTGATTCATGAATTTTGATCTAAACAAGCCCAAATCAACATTTTAAGCACAATTGAATGCATAGAATCTTCAATTTAATGATCAAATAAATTGTAAAATTAACATATTTATAATAGATTAAGTGTCTCGATAAGAGGAATCTAACGAGTGTAATATCACTTAATTATGATGTCATTGTGAATCTAAAATCTTTTGAAAAACTACCTATGATCAAGGGTGGTCTGCATGTACCAATCGATCAGGTGATTAACAAAGTTATCTACCAAAAGACTAAAATGACAAAATTATAAATATATAAATATACCTCTATTTTCACCCGGAGGCGGAAAGGTGGGATGTACAAGTGGAATTCCAATCTATACTTGAGAAAATATGCTTGTAGGTTATGATTACTTTTCAATTTCCTAACACTTGTAATTTTTAGCTTTATAAATATTAGTGTAGTTTTCATTGAAATATCATAATCATGCTCTCTCTATTTTGAGAGAAAAACATACTCTCATCTATACAAATGTATAATTGATTTTTTTGATTAGACTAGACATCATTATTTTTTCTCTTTTGGGTTTTTTCACGTTAAAATTTTGATGTCTATATTCAATATATTGTTTTATAGTGTCTGCGCTGAATTTTCGTACGACACTAAGAAGATAAATCACCATTCCTTCGTCGTTAATTTTTTAGCATGCAACGAAATATATGATTGATATATATTTTATTTCTTTTTGTAGTTTCTCCATGATTGATCACAATTATAGAGGATTTATATGATGCATGAAGTCAGATTGAGATGGATAATTTTACCCAATTTATCTATATCTATTAATAAAATTATTTAATTTAATATTAATTGTATTCCATTTTAATTAAATACGAGCATATGAATTTTTGGTACAATTTAGAGGATGTTTATCATTGTGATGGGACATAATGTATTCAAATATCATGATGTCAGCCCTCTCAAGTCATTTCATTAATATAATTACAACCCTTGATATCCTCTTAAAATCCAATTAAATAATTTTATAAGTATATAATAAATGATAAATTTATCTTTTCTTGATTAAAATTTCCGGGTATGAATTTTTTAAACCTTGCATGTTTTTATTAATCTCTAAAACCAAGCAACCATAAATTGTCTTCATATATTTACAGTGAAAATAGATAATCAACTATTTTTTTAGAGTGCAAGTTTTTCTTTGCTTCACTTCAAAGTGTTGCTCTTTTCCCCCTTAAAGAACGAGAGATTAGGATGCATTTGGGGCGGTGATGCAGTGTTATGTTGTAGTTTTTTTATGTTTGACAAAACTATATTTTATCAGCTTTCTTAAAAAAATTGTAGTTGGAAGTTGCATTTTTCCACCAAACATGTCTACGTGCAGTGGTTGTTGGACAATTAACTTTAAAAAAAAAAAATTGACAACAACTTCCTTAGCAGCTTCGCCACCGCTTCTTCAAACAACAGCAACTGCTCCAAACAATCCCTTACATGATATCACACAAATATATATTTATATAGTTAAGTCATTAAATTTAATATTCATTTAAATAATATTCTAGTGTTACAATTATATCAAATATATACATAAAAATATGCATCTTATTTTTAAAAAAGTTAGTAATAATAATAATATTTTATACACTATTGTGGAATCCTAATTTTTTTGTGAATTACACCCAATGAATAAAACAGACATAAGAAATAGAGATAGAGAGAGATGCATAATAATAAACATTAATTTGAATTGTTGATTAAGCATTTTCTCATAAAAATGATTCTCCTTATTTATAGATAATGAGATACAATATGTGAAGTTATTTGTTTGACATTGCTTTAAGAGGGTTGTCATGAGATATTTTAGGTATTTTGCGTATGGGTCTATAACTCGGCTACTCTTAGACATAATTGACTGAAAATGGTTTGCCTTGGTTTAGTAAGATCAGGACATTTGACTATCCTTTATATTCGCGCTGGCACATTCATGATGTACAGATACTAAAAACATTAAATATTATATAAATAAATTTCAAAATTTTTACACTTAATATAAAAAAATATATTAAAAACTTGCCTATAAATTTATCATCTAAATTTTTAGATCCTCATACAAAGTATCTAATCTTCCATGCTATGAGTTGCTAGAGAAGATGCCATAATAATTAATTTGATTATTAGAAAATAATTCTCTGTATTAATTTAAATTGGTAATCTCAATTTTAATTGTAACATTTATCATAAAAATGTAGTATTACTCAATCACTTACGTGTATAATATTTTTTATTAAATAAAAAATAAGTATCATTTATCAAACGTGACTCAAGTCCGAACCCTACCAATTACGACGAATTCTCTTACTTCCCTTCCAATGTTCCTGTAGAGAAAGCTAGCATTCCAGAGGGATCCCAGCGGCTCATCATACGAAAGCCGAAGTTTTTTTAACTCACAGGTCGATTGTCGAATCACCAAACCCTACCTAATAGAGACGTATAAGCTGACAGAAAAAAAAATTTTTTTTAAAGGAGGATTTTGGCAAGTTTTCTGTGATAAATGTTACTTAAAACACTTGTGTCTGGCGGTAAGAAGAGATCAGAGATTACTGAGCGAGAAGGAGAGAGCTGCGATTGAATTGTTCTCATGAATGTTCTTAAAATGGCGGAGACAGGAAGATCAGCGCTTTTGCTGCCAGGTGCGTTGAAAAAATACGAATTTTTGTTTCGAGTTTGTCGGATCTGTGGATTGGATTTAAGTTGCAGGTTTAGATCATGATGGGTTGATTTACAGTTTTCTTTTCTTGAAGGGCACGCGAATTAGTTTTAGGGGTGTAGTTTTTTTGTGAATATTTCTGATTTGAGAGCGGATTGGGGCATTTATTTCAATTTAATTATGATAGGTGGAAGTTGGAATTACGGTTCTTCAAGGATTTCAGGGAAATTCACTGCGTTAAGCTAAACCATACTGAATTTGAATTTTACCAAAATATTCCTTTTTGTTGTTTCTATCATTTTTTTTTTGCTTTGTGGGAAAGTTGTGATGGAGGTGGGATTAGATCCCAGAAACTTCACAAACAACTTCTAAAATCTTTACCAGCTATAGTGGCTGGTCTCCTCTGCTTCTATTGCTCTACCCATCAAAAATTGATTTTTTTTCAAAAACTCAGTTGGTTTTATGCTCTTTTTATATGCCGAACTTTTTTCCAAATTTAGAACATTACAAAATGTCAACTGGTTCTCCTTTGTTTGGAACTAAATATGTCATGTTTTGCTTATTGCAGCATTATCATGGAGGTAAGTAAAAGGGGGAGACTGAGGATGAGGATCAAACACAGGAAATCATCAGCTTTCCATTGCAATGCAGGAAGCAGATGTTCCGTGTCAATTGTTTTGTGGAGCCTTGTGGGATGCATCCTCATCATCCATTTCGTCTCCCTACTCAATCAGAAGAATGAGGATAACCGAGTTAGATTGAAAAACCATAACTTTACGCAAGAATTAGAGGAATATGAGGACGAAGAATTTCACATGCCTGCTCCGCGTGGCAAGAGGAATCCTCGTGCTTTCAAAAGGAAGGGACCGAGGAAGCAACATTCTGTGATCGATGAGTTTCTCGATGAGTCATCTGAGTTGAGGCCTTATTTCTTCCCTGATCAAAAGTATGCAATTGGTCCGACGAGGGAGATGAACGACAGCAAGCATTTCTATCCGGGGCGGCTGTGGTTGGACACCAATGGAAATCCTATTCAAGCTCATGGAGGAGGGATTTTGTTTGATGAGAGATCGGCGACGTACTATTGGTATGGGGAGAACAAAGATGGGCCAACCTACCATGCTCATTCTAAAGGAGCTGCGCGGGTTAGTTATTTTCAGTTTATGTTCTTGGGTTTTATTTAATTTCAACTTGTTTTATCCTTTCCTTAGATTCACGTATATGCTTCTCTTAGATTCATGTATATCAACATAATATATGTTTGGGGCATTTACATACACATCAACATAATATTTACATTCATTGCACTCAAATCTCTAATATCACATAAAAAATACCGCTTTTACTAACTTCAAATGTATCTTTTTATAAATAGGTTTATAGCACCAAGGTGTTAATAAACAGTAAGAGCTTAGATCTTCTTAAGAAACGTTAATGTCATTCTTAGAATTTGTGAGGCAAATTATCTCTAAATAATGAAAAAAATTCTATTTGTTTGTTTGAAGTTTGTGTAAAGTCAAATGGGCTGCATATATTTTTTGAAAGCATGAATATTAAACATGTGTATGACCATCTTGATCTTTATTCTTTTTGTTAATTTTTAATTAATGGCAATTAGGCTTTTGTCTGAATTGATTTCCTTCATATATTTAATAATTTGTTTTGCAAATTGTCAATAGTTGTTTTGGAAAATGATGCCAATTTTACATGCTTTCTGTATGATTTTTAGCATATTATGCTAGATTTGCATTATAATTCCTAGACATAAGATATCTTATATCAAAACGAGCTTAAATACATGCCAGATAGAACTAGGAATGAAGTAGTTGAAGAATGCCTAAGATGTACAGCAATCAAAGACATAATGAATAACAGGGCTACATAAAAGAGGAATCCCAATATTGAATATGGATGTTGATCAACAACCCATTAACAACTTAGAGATGATATTTAGTTGTTTTTAAGCAAATGCAAGGCTCTGCCAAATATGAAGAAGAAATGGATGACATTTAACTAACCTTGTAAAAAATGATACTTTATCTTATTTTTTTGTGCTCAAAGCCATTGAAGTTTCTTTAGATACTATAGTTTAGGGTTGTTTTTGTTGGTTGGATGCCACTTGTTTGAATGGAGTGTAAGTCTTGATAATAAATTTCGAGGTATGCTTATCCTTGCACTGTTATGAGGCATGGGTACTCAAATTGGTGATTTTTATCCTTCTTTTCTTTATCGAAATATTTTTAATTGATTTTACATGCACGATTGAGATTTTGACAAAGTTTGTTACATAGAGATGCTCTTTTCTACAATGTGAAGCCTAAAGTGTTATGAGGCTTTTATTAATTTCCTTTTTTTTTTGGAATATCGAAATTTGAGGACTCTTAAATTATTTTTTGGACCGAATTAAAGATTCTATATGATTTTGCATTAGAAGAGACTATTTTCACCTAAACTAAAAATTGAATGAATATCTATTCCATGTTTCTCTGTGCATTTCATCCCAACTTTACATTAGTAAACTCTATTCCTTGACATGAACTATTCAAGCAAAGAAAAGTTTAATCTAGTGTGTCTAATTATTATGATATGTTTACAGGCTTGGTATCAAAACATCTTTTTTGTCGAGACTTTCTATTACCACATGTTTCATTAGGCAATTTGTCATTAATGGTTTAAGCCTTTGGTTATTGGGTAGATTATAATCATAATATTAGAACTGCTACATTTGCGTATAAAATCCCTAAAGAGAAATCTTTACTTTTCTTCTAAATTATTTCAAATGTATGTCAACACAAGAATCATGCATTGGTGAACTTTGATTTTACTGAAGAAAATGTAGTTTATGAATAGTAGTTTTATATTATTTTAGGTGCAAAAAATAATTTATAGCTATAATTTGAATCTACATATCATGTTGTCCAATGTTTATGATGGATTTTGGTATTGAACATGAACTATAAACAGTGGTTAAAATCTCATTTTTGAACTAAAATTGAGCTTGAATTTAAACCTTCAGGAGGAACTAAGTTTGAAATTAAAATGGGACCTATGATCGTATTAGAACCTAACTGCAATTAAAATCTGCATCAAACCTTGATTGGGACTTTGTGATTTTATATGAAATTGAATTTGCTATTCCTAAATGTGAACATGAACTTCTAATAGAAACCCTTGAGTATGAAACTAAGCTTTCAATAGAGATTGAATCCATTTCTTACTCGGAACTTGAACTAACCATGCTATTGATTTGGATAACACAACTGAAGATTCTGGTAGTTAAACTCATAATGAAGTTTCAAACAAAGAAATTTTTACAAATAGAATTGAAAATGATATTGTTTTTGGTAGATTACTTATTTTTCAAGCTCATAGAGAGAAATTCAATATGAAAGTCAAATTGCATCATTATTTTTAACAAATTTTTAATTCTGATGTCCTTAAAGAAAATATGAACTTCCACTTTTATTAATATTTAAGTCCTTTGTTTGGTTTTTCTTAAAGAGGTTGTTAGTTTATTTAGATATATCATATTTGTGCCGTTCAATTAGTTTCAAATCTCCTTTGCTTCTTATCTTGTAGGGATTAACTATTAGTCATTATTAGTATTCCATAGTAAACATATTGGTATCTTAGTAGTTGGTTTAGATCATTTGCACGGTTAATATAATTTGCATAAAGATGTTCAAGAGTAAGTCAACTGTTTATTATGGCTATTTTAAGTCAACAGTTGATTTAAACAACGATATTTAAAATTCATACTAAATAATAAAACAATGTTTCACATGAATCCTAAAAGGTATCGTACAAGAATCTTTAAAAAATCAAATGCTAGAAAAATGAGGCCATTATGACATCATTTAGTACATTGAGATGAAAACTTACTAATTGGAAATTTCAAGAAGTTTTTCTTTTAGTTTAATAGTTAATGCAAGCCATTATAAATGACGAGATTGTGTCAACTTGTATTTGTGGATAACAAAGTTGTGTTGCACACATGATATATTTGCTTTTGATGATTCATAAATTACCTCATAAGATGCACATAAATTGTTGACCGAGGGTTTTGGGCCAACGATTTGGCTAATTGCATAAATTCTCACAACGATATTAAGTATGTCAAGTTAACAATTGATCTTCACATCGAGATGAATGATTGATGGATTTTATGATGTTTGAGCACTCAAAATTATTGAAACATTGTGAGAATTTGCCTTTTAATGTTAAAAAATATTAACTTGTTTCATTTAAGAAAAATGAACACGAGTTTAATTGTGGAGTAATAAAATTTGATTCGAATTTATTATTGTGTTGTAGTTTAATATAATTAATCTTGATATTTCTTTAATGTGTTTTTCGATTACAAATTGGTTGTGGAAAAAAAAAATCCCATGTAAATGGATAATTTTTTAGTATACATATTGCATGTTTTGGAGGAGGTCCCTAGCTTTCCAAGTTTTTAGTTTTTCAACTCTGTAACCTTCAAACATCAAGATCATTCATAATTTCTTGTCCTCCTATAATTATTTGATATTGCATGAGTTGAACCTATTCTTTCTTTTATATGTCTTTGATTGAATACACATATAGGTAAGACATTATATTAAAAATGTAAATTACTGTGATGTGTCGTAACATTTTGGAAGACATCATTGATGATAAATCTATTATTTATGGCAAAAATATTATAAACTATGGGTGTAGAAGATTTAGACATTTTTACAAGGGAAGTGATGGTATGGATAGTAATAACCTCGAAGCATCATGAAGTTGGATAATTAACCTAAAATTAAAGATTAAAGATTGTGAGAACTAAAGTTATCACTAGATGTGAATGGAAAGGAAATAACAAGAAATAGTTTGGTCGTCACTCGTTGCACAACCATTTGAGGATGATAAACATATTAATTACTATGTGTAGATAGCCGTCAATTTAATATCATAAATCTTTTGTGCTTATTTTTTTTATTATAATAGCATGATAATATCTTCACTTCAGAAGCTAAGGATGCATTACCAATCGAGTAAATTGCTAAGTTAGTCATTTGACGACTGGTTACATGAGGCCATTTTACTCCCAGATTCTATAAAACTATCGTATTAATCCTCAAACTCTTTAAATTAGCTCAGAAATAGTACTTTGTTTGAACTATTTTAACTTGTATTAAAAAAAAATTGGGGAATAAATTGAGATTTTTATAAACTATGAGACTAAAACTACCCACTCAAAGAGTCAGGGGGTTATGTGGACACTTTGTTCATTGCCAATCGCATATTAAGATCCTAATATGAAGCTTGACTTGGAGCAATTTTTAGGTTGCCGACATCTCAAATATACATCATTGGTTCTAATCCCTGTAAGATTCATTTTGCAATGCAGGTGTAATACTTTCTATATAAAACCATCATTTAAGTTGTGTTTTTTATATGAGGAGGCTTTATATTTAGGATGGAAATTAAGCTGAATTTCTTGGGCTAGTTTGGCAGTGGTTGATTGTTGATTCAAAAGCTGCGCTATAAGTTGTCTGTTTTTGAGTTTAATTTCTGGAATCTGAATAAAAGAATTTTTATTTATTGCTTAATGAGATCCCTGTTCCCTGCAGCTACTATAGCTACTGTATCTCCAGGGTTGATAACTTAAACGGAGCTTGAAAAATTTTATTTGCAGGTTGTTCTGCCTTTTGTGCGGTTTTCATTGATTTTTGGCTTCATTACTTGTCCGTGGATAACTGGGAAGTGAGTTTTGAATTAAAGTGGGCTCATTTTATGCTAGATCTATTTACTATCGTAGGGTTGAGAATTCCTTAAATAAAATACTTGAGGCATGTAATAAGGTAGTTTTGATTTGATAAAAGTTTTTATTATAATTTTCAATCGTATGTGTATGTGAAGCTTTCGAGTATGTTACTAGTATAACTATCTAATTTTGAGGTAAGTTATCTTGTTGTATCGACAATGAGGCCTAAATTTTCTTCATTTAGTGAACTCTTTTTCTTTTTGTTTAAATTCTTATAAAAAATATTTTATTCAATATTAATACAATTAGAATTTAATTTGCGATGAAAAGTTTAATTCTTCATTGATTTTTTGTTGTATGGGTTTCTTTTTAATTTATTCAAATTTACTTTATTTTTGCATCATCGATGGTGTTAAAATTCTAGTATTTTGGTTTACTCTTGCAACACATTATTTTAATAAATGAATTGATAGCGGGGGAGAAACCCAAACCACAAAAGTAACTTTTATTAATGAGAAAATAAACACAAACTGAAAATAACATTACTCAAACCTAAAGTAACGAAACGAACACCTCGAAATTGTGTCCCAAGGGCGGTAGGGGTTGGCTAGCAGTGGTTGTGGCAGCAAAGATGATGTGTTGGCCGACGGGTTTGTCTGCAGAACAGCAGGCTACGTGGCTGGACAATCGGTTTGGAGGATGGAAAGTGGGTTGGAGGCGGTTGGGGAAATGTTGGACATCTGCGGGGGAAGAAGTTGAGGGTTTGCGGTGGCTAGATGAGGGCAGGTCGGTGATTGGCAGCGGGAAGGAAAAAGCTGCGGTGGTTGGAATGATAGAACGTCAGCAGGA